CATTTTTATTTCTTCCTTCCCAAACTGCATACCTTTTATTTTATTTTATTATTGCATTAGCTAAACTTCCAGTATGATGTTGAAAAAAAGTGATGAGAAGGAAGACATCCTCACTTTATCCCTTATCTTACTGGGAAAGCTTCAAATTTCTCATGATTATATACAATGTTGATTGTAGGTTTTTTTGTTGATATTCTTTATCAAGTTGAGAATGTTCCTCTCTATGAGGTTGAACAATTGAGTTCACAAAATCATCCTAGAAAAAGTGTTACATACCTCATTGCTGAATATCACTATGGTAACCTTTGAAGTACTCCCCTTGAGGGCCAGCTGAGTGGCTCAGTTGGTTAAGAGCTTGCTGAAGAGTTTGAGCTCTGAGCAACAGCTGTTCGATTCCCAGCCTGAGCTGAACAGCTGCTGAGCTGCCAACAGGTGGCAGGATGGCTCAGCTTAAAAAAAAAAAAGCCACTGAAGTACTCCCCTTGAGAAACTATACACCAATGCCAGCACCTAGTCCACCCTTCAAAGCAATTTTGGAACTCGTTTTCTGGAATGGCCATCAGAGCTGTTATTGCATTACCCTTGATGTCCTGAATGTCATAAAAATATCTTCCTTTCAATATTTCCTCTATCTTCAGGTAAAGAAAGAAGTTATTGGGGGCCAAATCAGGTGTTCCCATATAGCTATTGTTCCAATACAATTGTTGGTTACTGGCTAAAAACTCCCTCACAGTGTGAACTAGTGCATTGTCGTGATGCAAGAGCCATGAACTGTTGGCGAAAAGTTAAGGTCGTCTAACTTTCATGCAGCCTTTTCAGCACTTCCAAACAGAAAACTTGGTTAACTGTTTGTCCAGTTGGTACAAATTCATGATGAATAATCCCTCTGATATCAAAAAATGTTAGCAACATTGTTGCAACAAGTTTGTGAACTTAATTGTCAGACCTTGTATTCCTACTTTACTGAGAGGTTTTTTTTTGTTGTTTTCTTGTTTTACCATAAATGAGTGCTGGATTTTGTCAAATGCTGTTTTCTGTACTTATTGATATGATTGTGTGATTTTTCTTTTTTACCATGTTGATGTGTTTGATTACATTTATTAATTTCAAATGTTGAACCAGCTTTGTATATTGAGGATAAATATACAAAAACCAGATTTTTATATTAAGGATAATTATTTTTATACATGGTTGTATTTCATTAGCTAATATTTTATTGAGGGTTTTTGCATCTATGTTCATGAGGGATATTGGTCCATAGTTTTCTTGTGATGTCTTTGGCTTTGGTATTAGGGTAATGCTGGACTCATAAAGTGAGTTAGGAAGTATTCTTTCTGCTTTGAGTCTCTGAAAAAGATTGCAGAGAATTGGTATAATTTCTTCCCTACACATTTGGTAAAATTCACCAGTGAACCCATCTGCACCTGGTGCTTTTTCTTTTGGAAGGTTACTAATTATTGATTCAATTTCTTTAATAGATATAAGCTTATTCAGATTTTATTTTTCTTGTATGACTTTTGGCAAATTGTATCTTTCAAGGAATTGGTTCATTTCATCTAGGTTATCAAATTTGTGGGTGTAGAGTTTTTCATAGTATTTCTTTATTATATCCTTAATATCCATAGGATCTATAGTGATGTGTCTCTTTCATTTCTAATATTAGTAATTTGTATCCTCTTTCTTTTTCTTAGTTAGCATGGCTAGAGGCTTATAAATTTTATTGATCTTTACAAAGAGCCAGCTTTTGGTTTCATTGATTTTATCTATTGATTTCCCATTTTTAATTTCATTGATTTCTGCTCTAATTATTACTGTTTTTCTTTTGCTTACTTTGAATTTAATTTGCTTTTTTCCCTAGTTTTAAGGTGGAAACTTAGATTATTGATTTTAGATTTGTTTTCTTTTCTAATATATGCTTTCAATGTTATACATTTCCCTCTAAGTGGCTGCTTTTATTGCATCCTTATCAAAACAAATTTTGATAAGCAGTATTTTCATTTTCATTTAGTTAAAATATATATTTAAATTTCTCTGAGAGTTCTTCTTTGATCCATGTACTATTTAATAGTATGCTGTTTAATTTCCATGTATTTTGGGATTTTGCATTATCTTTCTGTTATTGATTTCTAGTTAATTTTCTTGTGGACTGAAAGCAGGCACTGTATAATTTTTATTCTTTTAAATTTGGTAAGATGTGTTCTATGGCTCAGAATGTATTCTATCTTAGTGAGTGTTCCATGTGAACTTCAGAATCTGTAATCTGCCTTTGTTAGATGAAGCACTTCTAAAGCATCATCCACAATCTCTAGTTTTTGTTTCTTTAAAACGAAGCCAAAACTTAAAGTTGTTTGTAAAGTAAGCTAAGTATAGAATTCTAGATTATTTTGTCAGTCTGTTAAAATACTGCTTTTAAAATAATCTCTCTTTATTGAGTCTTGAAACTATTTCAACTTTGTTTTCAAATAAACAACACTTTTTAGCACTTATAGTCCATTGCTTTATTTAACATCAAATTAAATTTCATAATTATAATCCCAAGTACAACTGGAATGAACAATTATGAGAATAAACTCAACTTATTTTTAGTGAAGTCATAATTTTTCTGAGCAAAATTGCATAAGCTTACTAGAAAGAAGCCTACTAGGTATGAGTACTCACTGTGCAATGAGCATCAGTAACAATGTCTTACAGAGGGAATAAAAACATTCATTAACCCAACAAGTGAATTAAGTAGAGATATACTATCATAAAAGAGTTCTTACTACACATAATAATATTAATAATGATACTTTATAAAGTTATTTATACCTTACAGCATGCTTTCACATGCATTACTAGACATACTCATACAACACTTTTGGCAAATCTTTTTTTTAAATGTTTACTAAATGTAACAAACTACACCTCAAACCAAATCTCATTTTTTTTTACTTCACTTTAGTTTTATTAGGATTGTGGTATCTTTAAAACTTTTATCTTTCTCCAATTTATAAGGAAATGAGAAGAATTAAAACGGCAATAAAAACGATAATGCAATGAGAATTAAGATATATATAAGGAATTATGTATTTAATTTCTTAAAATCAGGGAAGTTTTCATGAAGGATAAATGAGCTCTCTATGTTGTAATTTGAGTAAAATAATGGGCATTTATTATTTCAATAACTAGGGAGAGGGTGGGAAAAAAAGGTGTTTTCTCCAAAGTGAATTGTATTAAAAAATATAGAAAAGTACAGAGTATATTTTAGAGTATAAGGTATGCGAGGGCAAAGAGGAGAGGAAACTGAGAGAAATAGTTGAGAATCATGTTGTAGAGCACAACTCCAACAGTCTAGGAGGGAAATAGTGAAAGCCCAAAGGCCCGTTCTTAAAAGACATATGAGTATCTCTCTCCAGAAGACACTGACTTGGATTTTATTGGGTTTAGACTTTTTAAGCAAACTGAGAAAGATTTATCAGCCAGGACATTTATTCTAATCATATTCTTGGGCACAAGACAATTGTTTGGGATGAAATTTGGTATTCCACAGCAATTGTAACACAATATAGATATTATTGTTAAGAAAAGCTTGTTTTTAAAGTGATCAAGATTTCCAATAATTAAAAGGGATCAAGTGGTATTATTTGGGGTTGCATTTGGCATAATTTCTCAGTGGATTATGTAGATGAAATATCCCTCTCTTCATTGGATATTTTAGAATTTGGTTTAATATAAAATATGAACTCTAAAGTTAATAAACAGGATGTCATTTGGTGCCAAGGATTAAATATTTACTGGTAAAATATACAGTGATGAAAAGGATTTTCAAATAGGTGATAAATCATATGGTCTGAACTTTATATTAAATATTATTTTTACAATGGAAAAAATAAAACTTAGACCAAGGGGAAAATTTAACCCATTGATTTGGATCCTGGGTCTGAACTTGTGAAGATCACCAGATATTAAGTAAATGACAGAGATTATATTTAATCTTTGAAATGATTCATTTATATAGTGAAATAAAGAATGCTAACATCCCATACATCACTCAGCCATGATTGATTCTTTCTTTCTTTCAAAGGCCTCTCCCAACTAGCCTTTCCCATTCCATCCATCTTGTCTACCTGTAGGAATCATATTGCATGATGTTTAGGAGGATATGCACTACAGCTAGTCTGTCTAACACAATTTGATTCAAATTTTGACTCTGCCAATTCCTATCAATTCCTATCATGTAATTATACATATATATATATATATATATATATATATATATATATATATATATATATATACAGTCCACTAACACATGGATTTTTTTCAGTTGACCTGGGAAGTTCGATTGACACATGAAGTTCAAGCAGGCATTTATTGTTCAAGAGTCAACAGGCAGTTGGGAATCCACCTATGCAGCAGGCTGAATTAAGTTATATGCAAATTTTGACTGCACCTGATGGTCAGTACACCTAACCCCCATGCTGTTGAAGGATCAATTGTATATATTTATATCACTTAGAACACAGCCTAGAAAATAGTAATCTCCATATTATTGTTTTTCATCCTCCTTTTTATTAACCAAACATTACCCATCTTTCAAAACCTAACTTGATTCTTTATTTTATTTTATTTATTTATTTATTTATTTATTTTAAAAGATTTTTATTGGGGAATTGGGAGATGGCAACAGTGCTGGGGAATTGGGGGTAGGGGAACAGACAAGTTGCCATCCCTTTGTTCTTCAGTCTAGTTGTGGAGGACATTGCTTCACTGGCCCAAGTTGGCACCATCATTGCGCTCTTCCTGGGTGAGGCAGATCAGTCCCCGGCTTCTAGACACTGCTCACAGAGGCTGCTGGCCGCTCATGTTGGCTGCTGGCTACACACGGTAGCCCATGGCAACCCACTGCAGCAGGGGCTGCAGCCTATGCCGTTGCGGGCTACTCACGGCATCCCAGTTCCAGGTTGAGCTGTTGTTCAGCATCTTAGCTATAGAGGGCAGTGTCACTGGCCCTCATATGTGGGATCTGAACCGGGACCCTCTGGCCAGCTCTTAACCAACGTACCACTCGGCCAGCCCTAACTTGATTCTTTAATGAGCTGTCTTTGATCAATGCAAACCTTCTCCAAATGTGCATAGCCTTGTAGGCCTGTAACTCTCTGTTTTAATATCTAATTGCTTATTATGCACTTTTTCAAATTGTTTTATGATTTTCGTAATACATCATTCTCCTAGAGAGAGAGAGACAGGGAGTGACTTTCTTTTTAAAACCCCTTTCAGCTGTATATACCTCGAGAATAGGATGATATCTATAGTATATACCCACAAATTTTGCATTTATGGAAAGCCTAGCATGTGCATTCTGCTGAAAACTGAACAAGCTCCCAATCCTTTAGCTTGGATAGTAAGGGAGGTGGGTGCAAAGTGTAAAGCATGTTCCCTATGTGCTGGCTAACACTTGGTCTGAATAGATCTGCTCTTGATAAACTGTTATTTAAGATGAATGGATGGATGGATGGACCAACATGAGACCTGAGGGGGAAAATCCTGCAGAACAAAAGAGAAGATTTTGCTTCTGGAAATAATTTACTACACAAAGCAGAAGTAACTTTTAGAAGATGTCTGTTTCACATTATTTGTAAGGCATAGGAAAAGGTTATGGAAAAAGAATGAATTGAGATGAAAATCCAGCAGGCAAGATTCTGGTTAGGAATACTGAATCAAGAGAATCATTATGGTAGAAAAGTAGAGGGATGGAGGGAGGGTGAGAGAGAGAGAGAGAGAGCGAGAGAGAGACAGACAGACAGAGAGAGAGAGACAGAGAGAGGAGAGATACTGTAACACTACTCTGCATTTTAGTTCTATTTTCTTTAAACTCAGTGTTCATAGAGAACAGCTAAGTGATTTTCTGCAGTCTGAGACTTATGTTCTTAATTAGACTCATTTATGCAACAACATTAAGAATATGCAACAAACTGGTGGAGGCAATAAGAATGGGAAACAGTCGAAGGTCAATGCTTTGCCTGGGTAAATAGAGATAATAAGAATAGCTGAGTGCTATGCTCTCTTCTGTTTTCTTTATCATTATGAAGACAAGACACCATGAACAGAATTCCAGGATTATGGGTCATGATTAAAAACATTTTAGACATGCCCTTGCTTCAGGATAGGGAGGCCTTCTTTTAAGTCATACCCAAAAGATAACTTTCTTTCTAAGTCTCCAGAGAGGGGGATTCTGGTCTTATAAATAAGTTATACAAATGGAACTATTGTGTCAATCATATTTCTACTTGAAATACTATTTTCCACAAAGAGATTTTCCCAATATATGAAAGCAAAATACAGACTCGTGGCAAAATTTCATAAAATCACTAACGAGAAAGTCATAACACCTGAATTTTAGTTCCATCTTTTTCTCTTAATTTCTTCAGTGATTTTGTCCAAACCACCAAACTTCTGAGGCTTGGTTTCCAGAGCCTAAAAAGGACAAGTATAAGCTTTATCTCTTGAAATAAAAATGGGAACCACTAAACACTCATCAGCTCTTCATAAGGCACAAAGCACTTTTGGTGTACATATTATTTCTAAAGATGGTAGATTTGAATGTTAAACAGTTAAAAGATAGTTTCAAAATTAACAGTGGAAGTTCAAGTGAGACTAGAAATTATACAAACATGCTAGTTTGTTTCCCCATTCAGCACCATTTCCCAGCTTTATCCAATGCATATTGCAAATTAAACTCCTATAAATATTCAACCTTATAACTTGATTTGCAAGTTTCACTGGATTCTTTTATGCATCCTGTATATACAGTATATCTACTTATTTCTGTTTTATTATATCAGTACATAGTCCAAACAATTTATCCCCAGAGGGAATATCCCATGGTCCTGTAATGACAGCTAAAGTCTACTGAATACATGGCTGAAATGATGACCACAATGATGCTGAGAATGGTGACACTATGTTGATGATGGTAACACTGAGTGGTGGATTTCTATCATGTATTGATTTTAAATTTGTTTTCCTTTCTAATATATGCACTTAATGCTATACATTTCCCTCTAAAGGGCTGCTTTTATTTCCAAAGGGAGGTAACTGTAAAGCTGCCTGTGCGACCTGAGTTTCCAAATCTTTCATGAGGTTCCATTTAGATGCAAAACCGATACACACAAAGTCTCAGCAAATACCAAATTATATTATTTTAACTAGCAAACCAAACCTGAAAGCCTTAGGCAAAAGTTTTCACAAACAGCATTAGGAGAAATGCCAGCTTAGATGATCGTAGAAGTTTTGATTAAGGGTTTGCCCACATCTTAAACAAATAGTGACCCTCGTTACCACCCAGAATGGTTTTTCCTTTAATGGAATTATTACTCAGTGGAAAAACAAAAACTGAAATTTGAAGCAGAAGTGTTCTATGCGCTGATATTAAACCATAAGAAATAAATTTTAAAATGGAAAGGTAGAAGCAGCTTCTTGTTGCTTCTCATTGGTTCCCTCACCCACAATTACTTCATGCCATTTAACATGCTCTTCCATTAGCCTGGGGTGGACCCCTTACCATCACGTTGCCTCCTCATCCATCTTCAAATAGTCCTTTCTCTATGAAGCCTGTTCCTGTTCCAGCTCTCTCATTTTTCATAGCCTTTTTCATAGCCTGCATCTGTGATCCTATCATAGGTCAGCTCAGGAGGCAACAGCCTCCTATAGTCAAAATCCCAGGCTTGGGCTGGCCGAGTGGCACATTGGTTAAGAGTTGGCTTGGGACGCCAACTCTGAGCATCAGGGCCCTGGTTCGGATCCCACATGAGGGCCAGTGATGCTGCGTCCTCTACACCTAAGATGGTGAACAACAGCTCCACCTGGAGCTGGGCTGCCATGAGTCACCAGCAAAAGCATAAGCTGCAGTAGGGCAGCAGTGGGCTGCCATGAGCTACTGTGAGTGGCTGGCAGCCAGCGTGAGCAGCCAGCAGCTGCCGTGAGCTTCCCTGAGCCACTGTGAGTGACTGTCTAATGGCCAGCGACTGATCTCCCTCAGCCAGTAAGAGCACAATGATCACAATACCAACATGGTCCAGTGAAGTGATGTCCTTCACAACTAGACTGAAGAACAAAAGGACAGCAACTTGTCTGTTCCCCTTCCCCAGTTCCCCAACGCTGTTTCCTTCTCCCAATTCCCCAATAAAATCTTTAAAAAAACAAAAAAACCCAGGCTTCAAATCCAGGCTTTCCTTACTTTTAACCTCATACCTCATCTTAATTTGGAATAATATAATAATAACTGACTTTTTGGGATGTGGTGAAGAATAAAAAGGCAATCTATGTCTAAGGCTTTGTGCAGTGTGTGACAAAATCATCAAGCAATAAATTGCTTGTGTTTACCGTATCAAAAAAAATTCTTTATTCAGGTATATTTTGTTCATCTTTGTATCCCCAGCATCTAACATGGTACCTAGTACAATGCGGGTACTTTAAAATTATTTTTTTCCACTTAACAGATGAATGAATATGACAGTGCTTAACACTTTAAAAAGAACTTTTGTGTATGTGGTCTAATTGGCACTTCCCACTAACCCTAAGAGAGAGGCAAGGAAGTCCCATCTTTCCTCCTTGGAAAAAAATGCCGTTCTCTGTCTCCATGTATCTCCTGCCAATCATGGGACAACTTCTGAGCTCAAGGATGATCATAGGACCAGACTGGACCAAATAAAGAATTTTTGGTGATGCTAAAACTTATAGAAACCACCAAGGGGCAGAAAACAGATGGAGCTATTTCAGTCAATGGTAGCACTCCTGGAAGTTGATCAACTCCTCAGACTGAAATCCCAGAAGCTGCCCTTTTTTGGTCCCTTCCTAATCTTGTGTTCCAATTCTTTCTGAACAATGCTATTTAGGTATATGATACAGTAGATGGAGCACTGAACTGGGCATCACCAGTCCTAAGTTCTAGGTCTGTCTCTACCATTAATAACTATGGTCAAATCTCTCCATCTTTCTTAGTCTGAGTTTCAATATCTATTGAGTGGGAATAGGTGGTAACAAGTTCTGCTTACTTCATTGGGTTGTGGAAGGAGCAAATGAGGTGATTTCTACAATGAGGTTTTGTGAACTACAAAGCAAATATAAAGCCATAGTGTTCCCCACTTTCCAGGCAGTGGATCATTTCCCTTGGTATAAAAGGTAAAAAAATTGAGTTAGACCCAACACACTTCCATGTGGCCAATACCTAGGAAATACAGACTCTCTCACACTCTTGCCAGATTCTCCACTAATGTCCTGAACCCTTTTGCTTTTGACCTACCTCACAGTCTATTTCCTGACTTATTGCTGCTCTCCTTGGTCCCTAACCTCTAGACATACTTCCTGTCTGCAGTCTGAAACTCTCCCCATATAGCTGACATTTGATATTGCTCCTCTAGGACTGCTACCTTTGAACAATGAATGTGGCAGGAGCTTTGGCTTTTCTGAGTACTTATGTAGAAAGGGTGGGTCTACAGACCCAAGGCATAGGCCAGTTACACAGTCAAATGAGGAGCTCTTCCTTTGGTCAGATTTTGACCCATGCCCTTTTATTCTCTTTGCTCAGAATATGTTTTTTTAAAGTATTTCCTATTAGCCAAGCTAAGTCACAATGACAAAATCCAAAAGCAAAGCCTGGGTACAATTCATGCTGGGAAATCTTATTAGCTTTCTCTAGCTATATTATTTTTATATTTATGATGAAGAAATTCTCATGAGGTCAAGTCACCGGGCAATGTTTCCAGAGCTCAAGTTACTCTTTTTCTCCAGATAATATTGAATGGAGGGAAACAGCATAGATTCCCTTCTCATGCCTGAGGCAAATATTTCACTGGCAATTGAAATGTGTGGCCCTCACCTCCACCGAACATTCTTTCAGAACCTTCTTTGGCTTCAAGGATTTGCCCCATTTTTGCTGGAGCCCAATAAAAGTGTCTTTTAGGTCCTGAGAGATAATCCACAAGTCAAAGGTAGCCAAGGAGTGGGGTGGTCTTAGGAGGATAAAGCCACAATACTCCATAAGGAAATCTATTAAAAGATAGAATGAGGGCTTGGGGAAACTTGCTCTGGATCTCAGGTAACTTGGCTCTGTAAGTCTTATAGACCAGTTTGTTTCCATCAGATAAATGAGAAAGGCAGTGGAAGCCCTGGAGAAGCAAATGCAGAAGCCACTCCTCCATGCTGACAAGTCTTCCCACATGCGGTCTCAGACACTGTAAGCCAGAGTGCACTTCTCCAAGGATCCCGTTACAGTACCAGCCCTCCAGCTGTTGGCAGCTGTGTGCCTTTCAGCTCCTCACAGCTGGTTTTTCAGATAGAAATGGTCTCTATATAAGACAGTTTGCCAGAAGAGGTTGTTTTGGATGTACACTGTGGTAAAATGCGATTTAAAAAGCAGCTATTAAACTAAATGAATTGCGATGTTGAATATAAAGGTGTGCTTTGCCCAATGCATTACAAGTAGGAGGTACTCGCTCAGTGAACAGCAGATTTTTCTTTCATTCCTTTGTCTCTTCTACTTTTATTCAGGCTGAAATGAAGAACAGTTGGAAATACTGTGAAAGCATTTTCCCTGGGGGGCTCTAGAGATTTCATCACATGTGCTCATTTGTGCTTGCATGGTGCAGACATGTGTGGGTGCCTGAGTTTGATGAGGAAACTACCTAGGGCACAAATGCATCTGAAGTTATGTGTTTGCATACATAAAGCATGCCTTAGAGTATTTCCCTAATATCAATCATATATATTTTAAATTCAAGGTTTAAGACCCTGTAGAAAAAGAAGGGGTTTAAAGGACTTTTCCTCATGAAAATAACCTAGAAGTTGAGTTTCAAATTTATGAGGTGGATTGGATTAGTTCAAGATAATGACTGAATTAGAAGTAAGTTGTGGAGCAAACGATGGTTCACCCAGTATAGTAGTCTATTTTCATTTAAATCAGAAGTTTTCATGTGTTCCTATTGACATACATTTTAACCACTGACTTCTCATTGCTTTGAGTATGAAGCTTAAATGCCCAGGAAAATCTCATAACATAATCAATGGGGGGTTGTTGTTCTTTAAAATGTTTTAAATACTATAAACTTCCAATCTGCCTGTTTTTAAAGGTTAAATTTATGTCTATGCTAGGCTGTTTGTTCAGAGCTTAATAACTCTAACAGACAGTGGTGGGAAATTCTGAAATATGCATTTACATTAGTTCTTTCTACTTTCCCCCCACCCCCATTTTCTTATCCTCCTGGAACTGAGGTTTATCTGCCCTTCCCTCCCTCCCTCCCTCCCTCCCTTCCTTCCTTCCTTCCTTCCTTCCTTCCTTCCTTCCTTCCTTCCTTCCTTCCTTTTTTCTCTTCCCTTCCTTCCTGCCTTTGTCTTACTCTCCTCTCTTTATTTCTTGAACACTGGCTTCTGTCTCCTGACATAGCCTCCCTTTGCCAGATTACATAAATACCATGCAGCCTGTTCTCCATCCCTTTGTGAAACACTTTCTCCAAACAGCATTTTCCCTCAGATTTAACTCTTCAAAAGTAGTGGGGCTCAGGGGAACTGAGAGACCTAAAGCATGAGGAAAAAGAGAGACAAAAGGTCCTGTTTGGTAAAATCACAGCCCACCCCNCCCACCCCCAAAAGCACACAATAAATCTCACCAAAGCTCTTTTCAAATCTGGAATTATTTTCATGCAGCTGAAGAAGGTCAGGCTGTTGAGTTGTTCCTTCCGGCTTCCTTGATCCTCTCCCCCCTCACACCCTCCTCCACCGCCCACCTGTCTTCCTCACTGAGCAGAGAAACAGAGAACATGGCCAATTAAAAGAATAAAATGGACAACATAAGAAATGATTTGAAAACCTAAGGGAAAATAATAAAACATTTAGAAAATTTGGAGTTAGGTACAGAACCCAGAAACAAGGTGGTTAATATTTCCCCCGGCCTTGCAAACCTTTTGTCTTTCTGAGCCACTAGTTCAGGCTGTGAATTCTGTTATCCCTGGTAGAGCCCCAGCCTGGGCGGATTCCACCTACATTCCTTCATTGCCCTGGTGGGGAGGGGGAGTCACGGGGGACTCAGGGGAAAAGGAAGCGGGGCAGGCCCTGGGGACTGTCAGACATACAACACTGCTCTGCACCATAGCTAGGACTTGAGCCTGTTCATTTTGAAGTTTACCCCAAGTCACAGGGTTAAAATGCCTGAATTTAATACCACTTCCCTCGCCAGAAGCTCAGCCAAATGTCCTTGGCTTTTTAATAGACCTAGCCTCTTGGCACTATGAAGTCTTGATGTTTTGCATTCCCTTTTTTCATATTTTTAACCCTCGACTGGCCTTTCTCTAACTTAAGCTTCATAAGTCACTCAAATACCTTACTTCCTGGAAAGAGAGCCTTCCTTTCCTCCTCCTTCCTTCCTTCCTCCTTCCCTCTCACCCATCATTTTTTATTTCTTTATTTCACTTTTCAGGAGGGAATGCCCTGAGTGACAAAGAATTGTCTTTCCCTACAACTCCCCAGTTCCTTTTTGCTATAGTTGTTGAAGTAGCTTCAGAAAGCTACAAACTAATCTTTATCCCCAGGCTTGTTCCAGACTTTGGCACTGAACACAGTCTTCAAGCGTTGCTCTTGAATAGCAAAAGGGGTTTATTGTCCCATTTTGTCTTTGATATTGAGTTGTCCCCTTGCACCCTTAGAAATGTACTTCTGGAGACCTCTTGGTCAGTGTTTACCATGGCAGTCTCTTAGTTTCCTGCCAACTAGGACTAGAGTTAATTTTTTAAAGTTTAGATGCTTTTCATAGCTCTGCCTCCTCTTTTTAACCATCCTGGGTTTCTTTCCCTTAGAAAACCCAGTGGACTTGCCAAAGTTCACAGTCTTAGTGAAGAGCAGAGCAGTAAACATTCACAAACACCATGTGTGCATGCACACACAGGCATGTGTGTGCACTTTCTTCACTGAAGAAAGTGGATCAGTTATCGTAAGTGAACCAGCCAGTGTGATTTTACACATATAAATATTTTTCAAAAAACCAACAAGTTGTGAAATCATAGAATTCATATGATAGTTTTTTTGGGGGGGGGGATTTGTTTTTTTTTGTCATTATAAAGCCTGAATTTACTTTTAAACCTCAAGTTGATCTTTCTAGATCTCCATGTCTATTTAGCAAGAAGCGCCTTAATGGAGTTTATATGCAACTAGTTTGTTACATTTCATTCTTCATTCATACTATTGATAGTTATTTTTTATTGTACTTCTTGGGCACTTTCTATGTACCAGGTCTGGCAATTAAGTTCGCAAACTTAGTTGCAATGATGTTGCTAACCTTTTTTGATATCAGAGAGATTATTCATTATGAATTTGTATCAACTGGGTGGACAGTTAACCAACTTTTTGGAAGTGCTGAAAAGGCTGCATGAAAAAGTAAGACAACCTGAACTTGTCGTCAACAATTCATGGCTCTTGCATCACAACAATGCACCAGCTCACATGGCACTGTCAGTGAGGGAGTTTTTAGCCTGTCATCAAGTAACTGTATTGGAACACCCTCCCTACTCACCTGATCTGACCCCCTATGACTTCTATCTTTACCTGAAGATAAAGGAAATATTGAAAGGGAGACATTTTGATGACATTCAGGACATCAAGGGTAATATGACGACAGCTCTGATGGCCATTCCAAAAAAAAGAGTTCCAAACTTGCTTTGAAGGGAGGACTAGGCACTGGCATCAGTGCATAGATTCCAAAGGGGAGTACTTCGAAGGTAACTGTAGTGGCATTCAGCAAGGAGGTATGCAGCACTTTTTCTAGGATGAATTCGCAAACGTAATTGTCTGACCTCGTATTATGCCATGTTCTAAGGGCTTTATATACACTGTCTTATTTAATATTCCAAGTAATCCTAGTGCATACTATACTAATTAATTTTACAGATGTGGAAACTGAGGCCCAGATAGGTTATATCACTTGCCTAATGTCTATAGTTATTCACCTATGTCTTCAATTATCTTGTAAGAAACATAACTTTCTCTGTCTTACCCTCTATCCACCAGATAGTATATGTTATCAGCTCCACACACAGGGGATGCTGCATTAATATCAGTGAATGTCCACTTCCCAAGAAAAAAAATTTAAACTAAAGACCAAGAAACATCAAGGCAGGTTATTTTATGATTCATTCCAAATTTACTACCTTTGTAGCCCCACAAACCACTATCAGAGTGGTGGTGATTCTGCAAGAAGCTGACAGAGAACTTTGTTGTATCTTGCTTTAGGTTTCAATGCCCTAGTTGAGGTTAAAGAACTCAAAGCTATGAAACTATAAATACAGACATTCAGCATCCTCTGTAAGTCAAAATGTTGCCTTTCTCATTGCTCACATTATGAACCTCTCAACTCTATGTGAGAAAGAAGGTACCTGAGCGTATGGTACATCTGCAGGAGCCATCAAGTCAAGTAAACCTTGGGTGTTTACTTCGTTCCAGGGCCCAGCGTATTGATTCCATGTTAGATAGTTTTTAATGCCTAGAAACCCGGATATCATTGGCACTCAGTTTATCTGTATTTTTGAAATTTTTCTTCCTTTCCATTCCCCACTTCATTGGTCAGAATAATATGATCAAAGAAAATACAGGTAAAGGCAATCTTCAGTGCTTCAGAGTTGAGAGGAGATCTTGCTGTTGTGGTCCCTATGTTTTGCCAGTTTATTGGAAGCCACTGGTGTATTCATGAATTATGTCTCAGATTTCTCTCAATGGCTCCATTTCTAGCTCAGGCTCAAAAGAATCCCACACCTAGCTCTCTAGCTCAGGTGAAAGCCCTTGCTGCAACCCACAGTGACTGACCAATTTGGTCTTACCCCTAGATGTAGTTTATTCATCACAAACTGAATAACTCATCTATTGTCAGAGTCTATTAAATGCCAAGGTTAGATGCTGAAAACCAGAAAGGGAAAAGGAGAGAGGAAAGACCTCTCTGGAAACACTCAGTTATTCCAAAAATGTCTCTTCTAAGTGAATACTCAATATAGATATTATCTTTACTCAAGCAAGAACCAGAATACACAGAAGAAAGAAGACACAAGTTGGTTCTAATACATGAGAAGCTTCAAGACTAAAATAGTAGCATGAGCAGAGAAATAGAATTCACCATAACAAGACACAGGACACAAAGAAAACATGACTTCAAATAAATAAATTGCAAATTATGTGCATAAATTCTCATCTGTCTACCCAGAGATGAAATCAGACCATAAGCTAAAGTATGGAGCCAGAGCAGTAAATGGATCATTTCTCCACTTTGGCATAGCTTTCTGGACTCTTCAGCTTGAATAACCCAGTTAGTTTTCAACAGGGAAGAAAATAAAGTATTGCCCTTAAAGAGTTAAGACTATAGTTTTACTGCTTTCTCATAGTGCATTTTCCTAATAAGGTCACAGTGCTACATTCTCTGACTTCACCTACTCATACTCCAAGGTTTCCCCCCCCCCATATCCACATGGACTCTCTTTGCCATCCTTCCTTTCAACTGCTATTTCCTCAGGGCCTCTGTGCTCAAGAAAGCTGACATTTGGGCTACTAAGTGATCCACACTTACCCGAAGGTTAGTTCCTTTTCTATCCCATTTGGGAGCCTTGGGTCTTCCCCCAGCCCTATTGCTCCTCTCCTCACCCAATCAATGGCACAGAAGGAGATATCCTAAGCAGGTCTCAAAATGGTATCTCATGGAAAAGACGCACTGACCTTGAAGAGAAAGCCAAACAAATAAGAAAAGAAATTGAAACAGGAACTATGATGCAAAAACTACTAAAAATGGGATCAAAGGAAAATCTGGGAAAACTGAGCAAAGAGAACCCAAGAGCTCTGAGATAGAGAAGTAGAGGGGGAGAATACAAGTTCCTGCTCCAACAGTTCTGGATGATTTACTTCCACTAAAGCACAAAGATTTTTTAAAAGATCAAAACTGGAGTATGAAAACACTGGTTATGAGCTCAGGTTCTGCCTGATTCCCAGTTCTGCCTCTCACAACTAGGTGACCCCAGGAAGTTGTTGAGCTGCATGTCTCTCTCTATAAAGTAGGAATAATCATATTTCCTTTACAGGAATATTTTGAGGTTTAAATGATATCATATCATTAGCAATTCTACAGGACCTACTCTGTGCCAAGCATTGTTAATTAATTAATTTGTCCAAGGTCACACAGCTGGGAAGTGGCAAAGTGGTTCTTTGAACCCAGAAAAACTGGCTTCACTCTGTGTTCTTAAATACCATGCCTCTCAATATATGTGTTCTTATCTACCATGCTTCTCAATATAATGCTCACAAATCACTCTGCCCAGTGCCTGGCATGTGATAATAGTGTTGTAAATGGCAGTTATTTTATTATTACTAACCTCACACAAGGCATAAGAAAAATCTTTTGTCAATAGAGATTAGGGGAGGAAAAATCGGTTCTGGAATGCAATATCTGGAGATCTGCATGCCAGAGTAGTTTTTCTGGGAGAATTTAGAAAGGACTCATCAGAGATGTGTTGCTTCTCTCTGGAGCTGTGTATAGCTCACGCAAGTATTCTTGGTTTAGTACCATCATCTCTTCTGTTTTCCAAGGTTGACTTAGAGCTCTAAACCTCAATGGAGAATTATAGATTATCCTCACCCTCTCATTTTATAAACAAGTAAATTGAAGATCTGAGTTATTGTATTTTATTATAGAAGATTTATAAATTAGCAACAAAACTAATCCTTGAACAAAAGTCTCTTGATGCCCAGAAAATGCTCTGTTTTTTAAATCTATAGCCAATACATACACCAGGTTTCTATATTTCACAATTTCTTGTTCATTGTCTGCAGAAGTGCAGGTCTATTGGCCAAATAAATTATTTAATTATTGATTTGAAAAATATTGCTACAATAATGATTCATCACATGGAAGACAGTTACAGAGCTTCTTTCTCTATATACTTCTAATGGCCTGGGGTGGGGGGGTGCAGGGCAGGGCAGATGGTGATGCTTAAATCAAAATGTCTCTAATTACCTACCACAAACCTTCTTGGTCTTTAATGGTCTTGAAGTTTGGGAACGTGTTTGCCAATGCTGACACACAAAAAGCTCACACTGAATTAGGGTGTTCAAGTGCTCCAGACAGGACAAGAGACATTGAAATCAAGG